AAGCTGATTCCAAGTTCCTTAATTTTCTGAGGTATGATTAAAATATACCCAAGATACTCCAACTGAAACTCAGCTCACCTGGCCATGCAATGCTGCCCAGAGGTGGTGTTCAGGAGCCCACAGAGTGCTGAGGATTCAAGTCTAGACCCCACACATGAATGCCACCTATGCCCTAGAGCTCTGAACCAACTTCCTGCCTAGCACTTTATTTCTGTCTGGATGAATCTTGCTGATTTTCAGCCAAACTCAGGGCTTATCAAACCTGACTGTAAGCAATCCCTCTGTTTTGCACCCGGGGAAGCTTTGTCCTGTGAGCTGTTCTGGGCGCCATAGGATCCTCTGAAGCATCCCAGGACTAGAGGCATCAGATGCCAGGAATGCCTGCCTCAGGGCTGTGACCACCAAAGGTGTGTCTACAGTGCCATATCCCCTGCAGACAAAGGTGCCTCCCCCTGTGAAAACTCTGGCCTAGCTGACACGGCTCCGCACACTTAACTTCTCCTTTTGATGTTTCTTTTGAGTTTGCTGCAGAAATCTTGTGCGTATCTGTATTGTAGAGCTTCCTGGTTTCAGCATTTGATTTAAATATTGTGTTGAATAGATGACTTTTGAAGTGATATAAAAATCCCTATGAAGGCAATGAATGCGAACAATGATTTCTCCTGCTTCAATGGTTAAATTCCTCTCAGAAGGGAGCTGGGTAGGGCACTTGCCTTGCATGGGACTAACCTGGGTTTGATCCCAGTACCCTATAAAGTCCCCTAAGACCTACCGCTAGTGATCCACAAGCGCAGCGCCAGAAGTAAGCCCTGATTATCAGCAGGTGTGGTCCAAAAAGCACCAAAATTAAAAAATAAAAATAAAAAATTCAAAATAAAGCCCATCTTCTCAGAAGGCAATCTGTCAATTTATTCTAAATGACATACAAGATGTACTTGAGATGGAAAAAACCTAAAATCGTAATTTTTAAAATTATATAGTTATATGATATCAGGTCAATTATATGATATCAGGCCAGTTATAATAACCAAAACTTATAAGTAACCCAATAAACAATGAAATGGTAAATTAAATTTGGGATCTCCACAGTACAGAGGCCAACAGTTATTTCTAATAGCATTTCAAATCAAGGAAGGGCACGGATGTGATTCAGTTGCAGAACACATACCCCATGTGTGTGAAGACCCCCAACCCCACCACCTCCATCCCTACACACAACACACACGCACACATACTTTGGGAATCAATATGGATTTTCATACATACAAAATACAATTAACTCAAAGTTCTATTTAGAATCTTTCACAGTGACATTATATGAAAACAGTCCTAGTGGTCTAGAGAGAAGTAAATAAGGATGATCATTCTGGCTATTGCAGTGGTCTATGACCCCAGATTCCCTACGACTGACTGCATGTTCCTATGAAGGAAAACTACACAGAATACGTTATTTTCGACACTCAAAAATTACTTTACCTGCTAGTTTGATTTCATTGGGACACCTTGGAGGGGGCCCCAAATGAACACCGGCAGCCTCAAACCTTTAGAACCCAATCGCTGCCACACTCATGGTCCACCTTCACAGGCTGGTCCCATGACCCCACACATGAGAATCCACTGAAAAACCCAGGGATGCAGAACTAGTGACTGAAAACTCTAGACTTCATGGTGTCGGGGATGGGCCACCACCTCCCCCCCATTTTTCCACCCTTCTAGTTCCCTGCAGTCAAGCCCAAGAACAGTCCTGGGTGCCACTTAAGTGCATTAATGGCTATGATTTAGAGACTCACAAATGAATCTCAGAAGACAGCAGCACGCCAGAGATGCCTCTGGACACCAAATATTTAAAAAATTTTAGAATTCCAGAAGCACACAGCCGCTTTCACAGCCGCATGATATTTCATACTATTCATAACAAGCAATACAAAATAAATTATTTAGCAACTGCATAGGGGACAGGCTTGGGTGGCAGTGGGAAAATTTGAAATAATGGTGGTGGGAAGGTGTAATAATGGTGGTGGGATTGGTGTTGGAATGTTGAATGTAAACAATTATTGTGAACAACTTTATGAAAATAAAATTTAAAAAATAAAAATTAAAAAATTACCTTACTAATTTACTAATGAGCTTAACTTTTTGTTTTGTTTTGTTTTGTTTTGTTTTTGTTTTGAGGCCACACCCAGGGGTGCTCAGAGCTTAATCCTAGCTCTGCACTCAGGAATCCTTCCTGGCAGGGCTCAGGGGGCAATTTGGGATGCTGGAGACTGAAGCTAGGTGGGCTTGCATGCAAAGCAAGAGCCCTACCTGTCGTACTATTGCTTCAGTCCCTGGGTTTGGCAATCCTTTGAAAGCTTCCTGCTGTATTCTGACTACAAAAATGTATCAGATATATCATTTTTACATGAAAGATTTACTGGAGACTTACATCTCTTTTCAGGGATGGAGGTCTCACCCACAGGTGCTCAGGGATTGATCACTCCTGGTGATGCTTAGGGGACGATTAGTGGTGCCAACAATCAAACCTAGACATCCTGCATACAAAGCAGGCACACCAGCCTGCAGAGGTGCTTCTCTGGCCTTAAGAGCTGATCTTAAGTTTCCTTACTGCATACATACCTACATGCTATTTACACACTGCACACAAACAACATATGTATACTCCACATACATACAAAGGCACAGTCACATGATACGCACACACTCCACAAATCCACTGCACACACAACACATACCACATCACACACTCCACACGCACAATGAGGTGATGGATAGCTAATTAACTTGACTGAGAAAATTATTTTGTAATTGTACAAGTGTATCAAAACATCACACTGTACTTTTAAATATACACATTTGCAAGTATACCTCAATAAAACTTAGAATAATACAAGTAATCCACTCTCATTGCAGAAATTTAGAAATACAATTCAAAGTCAATTAACTCAGCAATTCTACTTGGAATACATGCCAAGAGCCCAAAAACAATGTAGAAAAGGCATCTGCACTCCTATGTCCATTGCAGAACTATCCATAAGGGCCCAAATCAAGAAACAACACAAAGGCCCAAGAACTGATGTGAAAAAAGAAAAGTGAAAAAAGAAACTATGGTAGATATACACAGTGGATTATTACTTGTCCATAAGAAAAGATAAAAATTATGCTATTTGCTACTACATGGATGGATCTGGAGAGTTTCATGCTGAGTGAAGTTACAAATATAGATAGAGAAAGCACCGAAGAAAAAAACATTATGACCATGGTAGAGTGTAATATATAAAACCCAATCTGTAACAGTATTGTAAGCTACACAGTGCTAAAAATTTACTACAAAGTGCCTGTCACAGCCGGAGCAATAGTACAGCAGGTGGGGTACTTACCTTGCACACAGCTGATATTCCATACGGTTCTCCAAACCTACCAGTAATGATCCTTGAGTGCAGAACCAGGAGTAAGCCCTTAGTACAGCCAGGTATGCACCGCCCTCTCCAAAAAAAAGTGCCTGCCACAGAGGCAGGCTGGTGTAAGAGGGAAACTGGGGACATTGGTAGATAGAAACCGACACCAGGGAAGGGACTGGTGCACACCTGAAACTTTGTAATTCATAGAGTGACTGTCACTGTCACTGTTCTCCCTTTGTTCATCGATTTGCTTGAGCGGGCCCAGTAACATTGTGAGTGACTAAATTAAAAAAAAAAAAATTTTAAGTCAAAAAGGGAAGAGAACTCATAGGGCAAGTCTCCAGCACAGGGCTCCCCAGCCTTTCTCTGGGTATGGCTCTCATGGCCCCCATCACTACTGCCCAAAGGCAGCATGTCACTACCAAGCCTGAGCAGTGACCCAGCACAGACTATCACAGGCCCAAGGGAAATCACTGAGAGACCCCCAGTGAAATAAATAAATAAATGAAATGCATTACTTCCAAAGGACAGGTGCTAGGCTGCCTGTGCATCCCCCAGGTCCTAAATACTCTAGCAAGAGGAAGAATGAGCGCCGGAGACGTAAACTAGGCTTAAGCCCCATGAACCACATATAACAATCCATAGGAAGTCTAAGCAGGGCTGACATCAGATTAGGCCAACAGCGGCCCAGACTAGCCCCCAGAGGTGCATATTAGGCCCCAGAGACCCATATTAGCACACCAGAGGTCCATATCAGCATGCCAGAGGAGAACATCAGTACCCCTGAGGTGTATATTAGCCCCCAGAAACCCATATTACTTCCCTAAAGGCCCATATTAGCTCCTAAAGGAGCATATTCTGCCCTACCTCCCCCCAAGAAATGTGTATTAACCCCCAAGAGACCCATATTAATCTAAGACCCATATTATTCCCCTGAGGTCCATATTAGCCCTCCAGAGGAGCACATTAGCCCCCCCGAGAGGTGCATATCAACTCCCAGACACCCGCATTAACCTCAGAGACCCATTTTCCCCACTCAAGAGGCCTATATTACCCCCTCCAGAAATCCATGTAACCCTTGGGACCCATGTTAGACTCCTTCGAGACCCATTTAGCCTCCAGAGACCCATATTATACTCCGAGGCTCATATTACCCCCAGAGACCATATTATCCTGCAGAGGCCCATATTAGCCCCCCAGAGGCCCATATTACGCATCCCCCCCCCAGAAACCCATGTAACCCCTGAGAGCCATATTAGCCCCCATCGAGAGCCATCTAGCCCCCAGAGACCCATATTACACCCCAGAGGCCCATATTACCCCGCAGAAGCCCATTTTAGCCCCCCGAGGTCCATATTATCCCCCAGAGGCCCATATTAACTCCAAAGGCCCATATTACCCCTGCTCCCAGAGGCCTGTATTAGCCATCAGAGGCCCAAAACCCCCAGTGGGCATATTAGCTCCCCGAGAAGCCCATATAAGCCCCGGAGGCCTGTATGAGTCTCCCAGAGGCCCATATTAGTTCCCCCAGAGGTCCATAGAAGCGCCCTCTCCCCCACCCCGGTTTTAGGAAAAAAAGGTTTTAGTTCAAGGCACACTCACAGGTCATAGGAGAACTTTCTCTCCAGGTTGGTCTGGTTCTTCTGAAACTGGAGGACATCCTGCTGCAGCTTGCCATAATTCTTCTGCAGGGTTTTTAACTGGTCTAAACCAGGAAAAGGACACAAGGACACGGGTCACCAGAAGAACACAAAGTACATACGGGACTTGGGACAGCAGCAACACAGCAGAACCCAGCAGATGGACATAGGCTGCAGCCCACAAGGAACTGAGGGGAAGGATGAGAACCTCGCACCTTCTCAGGGAACTGCAGCCCGAAGACAAGGAGCAGCCTGTCATGAGTAAGCCTCTGGAAACCTGCCCCTGACTACTCCAAATCTTTCAAGTCGCATTCTTGACCTCCAACCAAGCACGTACTCATTTCTTGTCCCTTCATTCTCCCTCAGTTTCAAGAACCTGCAGTTGCACACAAGGTCTCTCCCAGAGCACAGGTCCTTGTCTGTGAATATCTGTTTCCAGCCCCTGGCTAACAGCATGTTCTGGTGAGGTCCTGGCCCTCAGCAGCAAGGCTTCAGGCTGGCGTCCTATCATGGACTTCCTTCCCTGACATTACTGCTTTATTCACAGAACTTCCAATCTGGGAACTGAGCTTTCTTTTTTGAAGGAAAGCCAGCATCCTGTTTCAATGATGACTGGACTCCTAATAGCCTTTCTCAACTTTAAAGCTTATTGACAAATGATACACTGACAGCACCAGAGAAAGCTGGTGGCGCCAGACTGAGTGGCCAGCAGCACCAAGGGTCCCAAGCCAGCCCTGGACATACTCCGCCTCTTCCAAAGCCCATCCTCACCACTCTCCATCCACAAAGTTCTCTGGGAGGGTGGGAAGAGTGGAGGATTTAAGTGAACTGCAAATATATGGCAATAAGGATCAATCTTTAAAACACTAATGAAAATTTAAAAACCATTCATACTATAAAATAAAAACCAGCAGGGATGGAGAACTGCAGCCACAGTATGACTAGGGCTGTCTGCAGAGCTAAGGGTAAGGACTGATGAACATCTCTATCTTTTTCATACTAGGGAGCCTTTCAAGCTTTTTCCCTCCCTAAGGTCCCCATTTGCTATTGTCTGGACCCATAGTCTCCTGCAGTGACCCCCCATGGACACAGTTTTCACCTGTGTCTCTCTTGGAATATATTAGGGGCCTGCATGGGATCATATGCCTCCCAGTTGAGAAACACTAGTTTATGGGGGCTGTGTGTTTGCCAAAACAGAGAGGAGAGTACACTGCAAAGGTAGAGTACTTTTAGTTTATTGTGATGTAAATTACACTTCAATTAGCCTAACAAGGAAAAACAATGATTCCATTTTTTTTTATGTAGGAGTACTGCTATTTATTCAGCCACTGATTAGCTGATTGAATTGAGCATGAACTCCACCTTACTTTTTTTTCATAGTTTTATTTATTTTTCATCTTATATTTATTTATTGAATCACTGTGGGAAAAGTTACTAAGCTTTCAGGCTTAAGTCTCGGTCATACAATGATCAAACACCTTTCCTTCACCAGTACTCACATTTCACCACCAAGAACCCCAATATAACCCCCCTCCCACCCCACCCAATTCCTGTGAGGCAGATGATTTCTACTTAACTCTTATCTACATTGATTACATTCATCATTTCGACAAAAGATGCACCATTATTGTTTAGAGTTTCCCCCCCAACAATCAGAATTGCTGAAAAGGCATTGTGAAATACTTTGTTTTCTATAGTTGGTTATGAGAATCATATAATGTTGTGCGGCTGCTATAGTGGCCACGAATTTTGGTTTTCTGCAAAGAGCCAGATAATTATGAGATTGGTTTCTGTGCATCTGGTGTTATGGCTGTGCTGGAGAGCCGCTTGTGGGGGGTAACTCAGGACCTTGGTAGGGCGTGAAGGACAAGCGCGTACCGCCCCCCTTTCCCATGAGACTGCAGTTGCCCTGTCACCCTGTCACTGCCGGCTCATACCTGGCTTCCCTATAAGCTCTGAAGCGGGCGGCCACCTTGCTGGGGGGAGGGGGGAGGGGAAGAGGCGGAAGGGAGCAACACCCTTTCCCTCCTGGGGAAGCACAGCGCCTGTACTTTAACGCGTGGTCCATTCACTTTTCTGCTGCAAGCTGCCAGGCTCTGGATTAAGTCCTTTTGCCTCTGGACAATGGTTCCATTTTCAAACCAAACCTAAATATATAGACTTCTACTCAGCGGTAATAAATAAAAAGAAGCAAATGCCCTTGAGAAACACCTTTCTCAAGACACACTTTCGTCAAGAATTCCATGTCCCTCTACAACATGGATGAACCTCAAAATAATGCTGAGTGAAGTCAGATCACACAGGACTTATACAGTCTGATCCCACGTATACAGAATCATAAGAAGGCAAACAAATATATAGGCAAAGAAGGCAGGTCAGCAATGTCTTGGGAGGACTATGAGAGGGTGATCCTTGCTAAAAGGCATCAGGGAACTCTTGAGGGGGGATGAGTATGCTTTGTCTGTGCTGCTTTTTGTGGTGGTTACTTAAAGTGTATACTTATGTCAAAATTTGTCAGAGCAAACACTTTAAATATCATGTCAACTACACCATGGTAAAACGAACTAAAGATACCAGGTATAGGAAAGGCTGTAAGTCATAATCCTTTTGTTGTTGCATTTCGTCTTTTTTTTGTTTGTTTTTGGCCCATACCCAGTGGTGCTCAGGGCTTACTCCTGATCTGGACTCAGGGATCATTCTTGGCCACACTCAGGGGACCATATGAGGTGCTGAAGACCATACTAGGGTAGACCATGGCAAGGCAAGTGTTCTTTCTCTGGCCCAAACAATATATTTTATTTAAGCAGAAAGAAAATATTATAACAACATGTAATGAAATAAAACAAAAATATAGTGAAACAAACCAAACAAAAAATCACGAATATTTTGCTTTATTTCTCATATTAAATCTTTCTAATATATGTATTATACAATTATGATATATTTCAACTCAGCTGGAATTCTTGATCTGAATTTAGACTACATGAAATACACAGTTAAAAAACAGACTGCTACAGAACCAATTACCTAACAGTGTGGGAGGAGAGAAGACCAAACTAAAAGTGATGAACAGACAGTGGTGGAGGGTATAGTCATTTTATAGATAGATACCATAAACATTTATTAAACTGTCACTGTCACTGTCCTCCCGTTGTTCATTGATTTCCTCGAGCGGGCCCATAATGTCTCAATTGTGAGACTTTGTTGTTACTGTGTTTGGCATATCGAATATGCCATGGGTAGCTTGCCAGGCTTTGCCATGCAGGCAAGATACTCTCGGTAGCTTGCCAGGCTCTCTGAGAGGGGCGGAGGAATCAAACTCAGGTCGGCCATGTTGGCTGTGTGCAAGGCAAACACCCTACCCACTGTGCTATCGCTCCAGCCCAACATTTATTAAATATTAATTAAAATATAATTTAAAAGAATTAGACTGATATACCAAAGTTCTCCCAAAGATACATTATTTTACCAATAACCAGATGTCTACCAAAAAATTCAAATTAATGAAATTTAGCTTTAATTAAATTACTGGAAATCAGCAGGGAGATGTTCAGAGGCCTTGATGGTGGAGGCCTGGGTCTGATCCTGGCACTCCATAGCCCCTGAGGACTGCCCTGGGAGGAGCACTTGGCACTACCACTTTTGGGTCATGGGTCAGAAGCAACAACAAATTTTGGTAAATGAAAGAAAATGGAAAAATTCCACATCTATGAACCACATTTCTAGTGCTGGGCACAAAGTCTCCAAGCAAACCTTCCAACAGGCACTAACTGAGGCTTGCAGTTGGGATAATCCCTGCTCAGCCAGGCAAGCTCTCCTCTCTCCTGTGCTCCTGTCAGCACATTTTAAGGCCCACTAGACTCCGCTGAGCTTCAAGTACAGTGGAAGAGGGGTGCACCCTACAGAGGGTTCACCCTATTACTACCTTTGCTGGAGGAGCACAGGAATGCAATTAGAACTGCTGGATAATATTAAGCTATGTGATGAAAATCTGTAATCAGGGCAACTAATTAAAAGAGATTGTATACATTAATATATGTAAGTGGTTCTGCAGACATTTAATTTACATATTAAAATGAGTCTGAATTCATCTCTATATAACTCCATTGTGAGACTTGTTGTTACTGTTTTTGGCATATTGATACTATCGGTAGCTTGCCAGGCTCTCTGAGAGGGATGGAGGAATCGAACCTGGGTTGGCCGCGTGCAAGGCAAAAGCCCTACCCGCTGTGCTATTGCTCCAGTTTATAATGTACTGAGTAATATATATATAGTTTGTGCATTTGGATTTTATTTTATTTTGGAGCCAACGCAGTGATGCTCAGAGGTTACTTCTGGCTCTGCACTCAGGGATCATTCCTTGCAGTGCTCGAAGGACCATATGGGGTACCGGGGATCAAACCTGGCTCAGCATGAGAAAGGCAAGGCAGGTGTAAGGTTGTACTATTGCTCCAGCCCCATGTGTAACACATTTAAGGAAAAATTCTTTAAGGCAGAAAGGATCAGAAGAGCTAATCACTCATTAAGGTAAGTGCACAGGACTCCATTACACTAGTCCAGGATAAGAACCATGTCATAAGGACAGACAGGTTCTTAAAAAGCCCATTGGAAGACTGGAAGAAAGAAAAAGAATGAAACTAACCTTGAAGGGTTTTGATGAGCCTCTCATTGGAAGTGATATTATTCACCAAAGCTGCCTGCAAGGAAGAGAAAACATGTGCACATCTTAGAAGAGCCTTGGCAACATGTCTAGGTGTAGAAATAGAAGGACCCACTTCCTTTCCCACACAGCAGCTGTTGGGGGGACGCAGGTTGCTGCCCTTTGTGGACTATGAGATATCCGTGGCTTGAAATAGAACAAACTTGAGGATCTACTTTCCAGCCTGAAATCAGAAGAAGGAGTAAACAACACTGCTCCTCCATGGAGGAACCAATCCCAGTCCATCACACTGCACATTACATTCCTAACTAACAGGGGGGAGCGTGTACAGGGACCCCTGCCTGGAGAAGACAGCCTCATTCCTTGCCAGCTTCTGCTCTTCTTTCCTCTGTCCCTAAGGCCTATTAATGGGGTGCAAAGTGCCCACATGGTGCCCACCCAGAGCAGGGAAGGCAGCAGCAGAGGCAGGAGAAGCAGTACAGGACTGGCAGCACTGGAAGATAGAGTCAGGGCAGAGCAGCATGCAGACCAGCCGCTTCCTCATGTGTTCCCTGAAGGCCACTGTCCTCACACAAGCCTCTGCACAGGGCAGGAACCGGGACCTTTTCAGCAGCAAACAGGCCAATGTCCAATCCAGAACCCAGCCAGCCTGCTGTGGACACAAACTCCTCCTCAGTACTTGCCCAACTGGACCCCCTGAGATCTAGGGAAGAAGACCCAGCAATAAAAGCAAAGCAACTGAAACACTAAATAACAGAGGACCAGACTATGAAAGCATGTAAAGCAGGCACTCCAGCCCTGGCTCACGTCCTAGCTCAGTCGCTCTGTCCCATAAAACCACTGCCCTGCCCCCACTTGGAGACACTCGTTGCAGTTGAGGACAGCCATGTCACACCCTCTTCTCTGCCTGTCTTCTCTTGGCTCTCTTTGTTTGGCCCTCACTCTTACAGACCTGGATGGAGCTTTCTCTGGATTTTCCTGCTCCCCAAAGGAAATCTGGTCAAACAAATCCAGTGCTTATTTAGGGAGAACTCAGGGTATAATTTTGTAGCCCAGTAAGAGAGAAGCTCCCATGATATCTTCAGTGAATCTCTCAGAGAGAATAAGCCGTGACATGATTCACAGGGGGAATCCAATCCTGAAGCTCCCAGCTCCTGGCTGTACGTGCTCAATCCAAAAGTCAAAGTTTGGGCTTCTGGTTAGTTTTGTGGTTGAGTGCATTCCTTGCACATGAAACCTTGGGTCTGATTCCTGGCAACGCGCACACACACACACACACACACACACACACACACGACAAAAGATTATCTTATGATACAGCAATCCCACTCTAGACGTATTCACCAAAGAGTAAACCTCAACTGAAGCATACAGAAAGAAAGTATGGTGTATAAAAGTAACAGAATATTACATTATGCAGCTTTCAAAGGAGTGGCAAAAGCTGCGTGGATGAACCTTGATAATACAGTGGTAAGCAAAATAGGTCAGTCACAAAAGAATAAAAACTATGTCATTCCACCCATATGAGATACCTATAGCAGCAAAATCACAGAAAAGAGAGTAAAAGCGTGGTTGCAATGGCTGAGAGTTGGGAGAGGGGCATTAGGATTTAATGTGCACAAAGTAATCTCTCATTTTTACAAGATTTCTTTAATGTTCTAGAAGTCACTGCAGGACAATGTGAATATATTTAACATCCTAAACTGTTATTAGATTCCCATCTTGCATAGGTACAAAAAGTATCATATGCTGAAACAAAACTGAAAAATAGAAGGATTAAACAATTATATTCTATCACAAAAACTCACAGGGAAATCTTACTTATGAAATTATAGTAATTTGAGAGTAGGAAATAGTTCAAAGGGCGGAGTAGATATTTTGCTTGCTGGAGCCCCAGGTTCTATCCCTGACACTAACATTCCCAGGTTCATTACTGCTATGAGCATCTCCTGAACACTAAGACAGAAATAGCCCCAAGAACTTCTAGACCTGGCTCAAAAAAAAAAATCTTCCAGCAAGCTTAATTACACATAAATGACAAAAAAAAAAATTAAGTGCTAACTGTAAAGAGATAACTGGATATTTAAAGTTGATTGTAAGGAAGAGAAGGAAACTTTTAATGAGTATTTGGCCCATTAAAATAAATCAACCTGCTAGAAATTCATCTTAATTTTAAGTCACACTTCAAGAAAACCCTCGAGCTATCTAACCCTGAGCAACCCACAGGTGATCATTTGTCTGAATGACTCCATTGTGATGACATTTCCATTTCCATAGTGACCCTAGGAAACCAATGAATCTTAGTGACCTGGACACAGTAATAACAATGAATGCACTGAGCTGGGAATGTGGCCTAAGAGACAGAGACCATAAGCCTGAATTTAATTCCCAGTGCTGCACAGTCTCCAGGCACTGCTGGGGTCGCTAGGAGACCCTCTCCCCCAAAAAATTTTTTATGAAAAAGTTTTTATTCTTCTTAGCACAGCGGGTAGGGCGTTTGCCTTACAAGTGGCCAACATGGCCGACCCGAGTTCGATTCCTCCGCCCCTCTCGGAGAGCCCGGCAAGCTACCGAGAGTATTTGATATGCCAGACACAGTAACAACAAAGTCTCCAATGGAGACGTTACTGGGCCCGCTCGAGCAAATCAACGATCAACGGGAGGGCCTTTACCTTACCTTTACCTTACCTTTTAACCCAAAGTCTCCCAGACAGATCAGTGCCATCCAACAAGTATGTTAGTCACATATCGAAAATTTCAATTCTCTACTCACTTAATCACTTAACTTCCCGTTAGTCGTCGATTTGCTCGAGCGGGCGCCAGTAACGTCTCCATTTGTCCCTGTCGCGTGCTAGTGTAGCCCAATGGCATCTCTTCGCTCCGGGAACATGGAGGGCCTCAAACCGATCGTTCATGACCTTGACAAAGAAGTCTGACCATCTGGTAGGTGGGCGGCCACGCGGTCTCTTGACATCCCGTGGAATCCAATCAGTAACAGCTCTAGTCCAACGGTCGTCTTTAAATCTCATTACGTGACCAGCCCATCTGATTTTCGACACCTTGGCATATGAGACAGCGTCCCTGATCCTTGATCGTCGACGGATGTCAGAACTCCGGATTCGTTCTCTCATTTGAGTGAAACGTGTTATTCCAAGCATAGCTCTTTCTATTCTTCTTTGGGAGACCTGAATGGCGTTCTCATCTTGTTTGCGTAGGGCCCAGGTCTCTGAGGCATATGTTAATGCAGGAAGAACAGTGGAATCAAAGAGATGTGCCCGGAGCCGGAGGTTCTTCGTCCTCTTAGCTATTTCTTTGACGTTCTTGAAGGTGTTCCAAGCCGCTCTCTTCCTCCTGCGCAGCTCGGGTGCCAGGTCATTTCTCATGTTGACCTCTCGACCTAGGTACACATAGCTGTTGCATTCGGAGATGGTCGTTCCATTGAGAGCGAATGGGGCGTCAGGAACAAGGCTGTTTCTCATAAACATTGTCTTCGTAAGATTCAGCTGTAGTCCTACCTTTCCACACTCACGGTCAAAGTCGGCCAGCATTTGTGCCGCTTGGCTGATGTTTGGTGTTATTAAAACAATGTCATCAGCAAAGCGGAGGTGGTGTAGTTGCCGACCATCTATCTTCACTCCCATTTCTTCCCATTCCAGTCGTCGCATGATGTTCTCGAGGGTGGCACTGAAGAGTTTCGGTGAAATGGTATCACCCTGCCGCACCCCTCTCTTGACATCAACGATCACTTCTTTGTAGAATGGTGAGATCCTGGTAGTGAATCCGCAATACAGCTCACGGAGGATCCTGATGTATTGGGCTTGAATGCCCTGATTGGCTAGGGCTTCAATGACCGCTTCCGTCTCAACAGAATCAAAGGCCTTCTTTAAATCAATGAATGTTAAGCAGAGCGGCATCTTGAACTCCCGAGAAACCTCAATGAGCTTGGTTACCGTGTGGATATGGTCGATGGTGCTGAATCCTTTGCGGAACCCTGCTTGCTCGCATGGTTGTCCTTCATCTAGTGTTCTGCCAATCCTATTCAGGATGACTCGAGTGAACAGCTTGTAGATGACAGACAATAGGCAGATCGGGCGATAGTTGCCAATGTCATGGATGTCTCCCTTCTTGAACAGTAGTACGGTCCTGCTGGTTTTCCATTGGGACGGAACCTTGCATTCAGACAGGTAGCGAGTGAAGAGCCGAGCCAGTGTATTGATGAGTACTGACGGCAGGTTCTTCAGGTGTTCAGGTCTGACCTTGTCTGGGCCGGGTGCTGTTTGCTTCTTTACCAACGAAATGGCGTGTCGGATTTCGGAAGGGAGAACGTTAGGAACGACATACCCATCCTGTGGAATTTGGTATGTTGGCAAGTGGACATGGCTATCGAAGAGATTTGAGTAGAAGTCATGGATAATCTTCTCCATTGCCGTTCTGGAGGATGTGATGGATCCATCAGGACGTCGGAGGGCAGTCATCTTGCTCTTATAGTTGGCGAAGGACAGGCGGGCCTTACGAATACTTTTCCCGGCTTCTGCCGCATCTACCAGTACTTCTGCTTGGACTCCAGGCTCGGCGGACCCAGGGACAGAGCTTCTCTGCTTGCTCCCACCACCACAGGTGACAAAGGGATTCTAATCAGGAGCCCCACCCTACCCTGCCCTGTCTGCTTCCATCAACCACCCAGGGATCGAATTGTGCACAGGAGACCCACCCTACCCAGATAAATACCCCACTGGCAGATTTCCACTCTCGACACTACTTCCACTACCCAGCCGTCTCCACACTCCAGGACGCTTTCCGGACCCGCGCGGCCGCAAGCTGCCGCGCGACACATCATAAGGCACTAAATACCCATCTTCTGGAATTGTCGTACCATATTTGATAAGGTTCAAATATGGTAACACCTACAAGGGTGATTAGAGGCCACCCCAAAAGCCTCTATACCTCTCGGAAAGACTGGCAAGCTACCGAGAGTATTCCGCCCGCACGGAAGAGCCTGGCAAGCTATCCGCTGTGTATTCGATATGCCAAAACCAG